ACCAGTTCTTACGAGGTATATACGAATATATACCCTCTAGTTTAGGTACAGGAATTATACAGTGGTCTTACCATATTCCAGATAAACCGATGCTTACGAGGTATATACGAATATATACCCTCTAGTTTAGGTACAGGAATTTTACAGTGGTCTTACCATATTCCAGATAAACCGGTGCTTACGAGGTATGTACGAATATATACCCTCTAGTTTAGGTACAGGAATTTTACAGTGGTCTTACCATATTCCAGATAAACCAGTGCTTACGTGGTATATACGAATATATATCCTCTAGTTTAGGTACAGGAATTATACAATAGGGGCTTCTCACGCACGTTATGAAACCAGCTCACTATACAATCACCTGGGCCGTGTTTCACAAAGCTATCATGGAGCTACGACAGTCGTACCTCCTTTAGTGTAACACAGACTCACGACAGTCGTACCTCCTATACTGTAACACAGACTCACGACAGCGTACCTCCTATACTGTAACATAGACTCACGACAGTCGTACCTCCTATACTGTAACATAGACTCACGACAGTCGTACCTCCTATACTGTAACATAGACTCACGACAGTCGTACCTCCTATACTGTAACACAGACTCACGACAGACGTACCTCCTATACTGTAACATACCTCCTATACTGTAACACAGACTCACGACATACTGTCGTACCTCCTACAGTCGTACCTCCTATACTGTAACATAGACTCACGACAGTCGTAGCGCTACGATTACTTAGTGTGTTATAAATCTTCGTTCTGTACTCGTATTCTAAAGTTATTGTCTCATAGAAGTTTTTATTCGCAATATTGTGAATGAATGTTTGCATTTGAACAAGAGAAAGATTGTGTTAAACTGGACGAAGTAGCACACAAGCAGTTCGAAATTGTACGAAATTTGCAAGAAGCATGACACGTTCGAAAAGACTGGCCAGTAATGTTCGGTTTAAGAAGCCAGATAAGACAACCAGACGCTTATCATTTCCACTCAAAAAGTGCAGAAGTCAGAAAAAAACACCTCCATCCATCATTTTGGAACACAATTGACATGTCAATTGACAGATGGACAGCTGTGGCTCTGGGTCAGACTGGTATCTCGCAGCGGGACGTTGCTATTCCATTCAGCGTCCATAGAAGCACCAGTTGACAGTTTTCAGCAAAACAGTCATATAGACCATCGATGAAATTACCCTCAGGTAAAGTTACACTTCTTGGCAATGTTATCTTGTTTTGATTTTGCCAACCCGGAAATCATATTCGTATGCATAAAGAAACAGTTTACTAAGGAGGGGAGTTCAGTTGGTGCCCATGGGCATGCCTACATCGTGTCTAAATGAACTCCGTTTTTGAGATTGCACTAATTGAAGCAAATTCACTGAGTCTTTGAGAATCCACATGGTATTAATTCCGCCTGTCTCAGATACTTCCTGTGACTGTAGACAGACAGCACATGACATAGCCTCTATTATGTGGTCTCTGCTATAGAGAAAGTCCCCTATTATGTGTTCTCTGCTATAGAGAAAGTCCTCTATTATGTGGTCTCTGCTATAGAGAAAGTCCTCTATCATGTGGTCTCTGCTATAGAGAAAGTCCTCTATTATGTGGTCTCTGCTATAGAGAAAGTCCTATTATGTGGTCTCTGCTATAAGAAAGTCCTCTATTATTATGTGGTCTCTGCTATAGATTATGTGGTCTCTGCTATAGAGAAAAGTCCTCTATTAGTCCTCTATTATGTGGTCTCTGCTATAGAGAAAGTCTCTGCTATCCCCTATTATGTGGTCTCTGTCCCCTATTATGTGGTCTCTGCTATAGAGAAAGTCCCCTATTATGTGGTCTCTGCTATAGAGAAAGTCCTCTATTATGTGGTCTCTGCTATAGAGAAAGTCCTCTATTATGTGGTCTCTGCTATAGAGAAAGTCCTCTATTATGTGGTCTCTGCTATAGAGAAAGTCCTCTATTATGTGGTCTTTGCTATAGAGAAAGTCCTCTATTATGTGGTCTCTGCTATAGAGAAAGTCCTTCTTGGGAGGATTAAATATTAAGGTTAATCGCTGAGACTTACGCTGGTCCGAGCAATATAGTTCTTGTCAAATGTGCAGATTTTGAATCCATAGCACAGACTGCACTGCAAGCAAGAGCAGCAGCGAACAACAAACCAGACTGAATCAGATGACACTGTTCCCCAGTTACCTCCGACATGAATCTGTCCACAGAGAGTTCAGCCGATGCTGTATATGACGGGTCTTTTTGGTTTGACACGATAGGTCTTCAAATGGTTCAGTGCAGTATGTTTTACCTGAAAAGTCATATTTGAATTCAGGACATGTCCTATCTAAATAGGACAGGTTTAGCATTTTGTGCGTGTCACATGAAGAAATACTGAACAGATTTGAGTTTGATTTACACGCACACACAAACACACACACACATAACACACACTGTCCTCCAACCTTATTGAACATATTATAAAGCGTATGAGTCTTTGATTTAGAAATAGAGGGAGTGAGTTTAGTTTGACGCCGCTTTTAGCGCTTTAACCACTAGGCTTAATCACTGCCCCTTTTAGAAATACATGTCCAACCTTCATGTTGAACATAGGCTGCTTCCATGATATCCCGAAGGACCATCCGAGAACTGCAGTTTAATCTATATGTTGCAGTAATCCCGTCTGTATTACTGTTGATCAGATTATTGAGGACTGCAATCTAAGCTATATGTTGCAGTAGTCCCGTCTGTATTACTGTTGATCAGATTATCGAGGACTGCAGTCTAAGCTATATGTTGCAGTAGTCCCGTCTGTATTACTGTTGATCAGATTATCGAGGACTGCAATCTAAGCTATATGTTGCAGTAGTCCCGTCTGTATTACTGTTGATCAGATTATCGAGGACTGCAGTCTAAGCTATATGTTGCAGTAGTCCCGTCTGTATTCCCGTCTGTTGATCAGATTATCGAGGACTGCAATCTAAGCTATATGTTGCAGTAGTCCCGTCTGTATTACTGTTGATCAGATTATCGAGGACTGCAATGTCTAAGCTATATGTTGCAGTAATCCGAGGACTGCGTCTATTACTGTTGATCAGATTATCGAGGACTGCAGTCTAAGCTATATGTTGCAGTAGTCCCGTCTGTATTACTGTTGATCAGATTATCGAGGACTGCAGTCTAAACTATATGTTGCAGTAGTCCCGTCTGTATTACTGTTGATCAGATTATCGAGGACTGCAGTCTAAGCTATATGTTGCAGTAGTCCCGTCTGTATTCCTGTTGATCCAGATTATCGAGGACTGCAATCTAAGCTATATGTTGCAGTAATCCCGTCTGTATTACTGTTGATCAGATTATCGAGGACTGCAGTCTAAGCTATATGTTGCAGTAGTCCCGTCTGTATTACTGTTGTTCCAGATTATCGCCTGAGTGGTGGGGTAGCTTAGTGATTAAAGCGTTTGCTCGTTGCGCATAAGACCCGGGTTCGATTCCCCACATGAGCAAATTGTGTGAAGCCCATTTCTGGTGTTCCACGCCGTGATTTTTCTGGAATATTGCTAAAAGCGGCGTACAGCTAAACTCACTCATCAGATTATCGCCAGTTTCCGTGACCTGCAAGAGGTCACGAATGTCATCTAATCTTTTCAAAAGATTAGTACAATACAAACAACATGGTGTAGCTCCTTACCGCGTGTATACATCCTCCAGGACACTGGTGTGTTTTTCCTTGTTCGTTGAATACCGTCGGTATGTCCTGGACAAAAGGACGAATAACATGTATATCGCCCATCACCAAGCCGTGTACAGAAGTTTACAGATTCAGCATTAACAGTTAAAGGAATTGTCGTTGAGAACACATCAAGCACAAGTATGTTTACTTTTATTGTTTAATAAGTTTGTTTGTTGTTTAACGCCGCAATATTCCAGCATTAAAATGGCGGTCTCTAAATAATCGAGTCTGGACCCGACAATCCAGTGATCAACAGCATGAGCATCGATCGCCTTTTCATTTGTTGTTGAAGACCAAATCTAAGCCGGATCTTCAGAGGTTTGTAACTTAGTAAAAGTCAAGGCTGGACACGACTGTCCATTGAGTTTGACCACTCTCTCCATTCTATAATACATATTTCAACATGATGTCCTGCTTCGCTGTTGCATACTGTTAAAACCGCATGGCATACTTACTTAATCAAGAATTCAAACATGAACTTTCACTATAATACATATCTATGATGTCCTACTTTTCAACATGCTTTCATACATACTGTTAAAACCGCTTGGCATACTTACTTAATCAAGAATTCAAACATGAACTTTCACCATTCTATAATACATATTTCAACATGTTCCTGCATACTGTTAAAACCGCATGGCATACTTACTTAATCAAGAATTCAAACATGAACTTTCACCATTCTATAATACATATTTCAACATGATGTCCTGCTTCGCTGTTGCATACTGTTAAAACCGCATGGCATACTTACTTAATCAAGAATTCAAACATGAACTTTCACCATTCTATAATACATATTTCAACATGATGTCCCATGCTTCGCTGTTGCATACTGTTAAAACCGCATGGCATACTTACTTAATCAAGAATTCAAACATGAACTTTCACCATTCTATAATACATATTTCAACATGATGTCCTGCTTCGCTGTTGCATACTGTTAAAACCGCTTGGCATACTTACTTAATCAAGAATTCAAACATGAACTTTCACCATTCTATAATACATATTTCAACATGATGTCCTGCTTCGCTGTTGCATACTGTTAAAACCGCTTGGCATACTTACTTAATCAAGAATTCAAACATGAACTTTCACCATTCTATAATACATATTTCAACATGATGTCCTGCTTCGCTGTTGCATACTGTTAAAACCGCATAGCGTACGGTTTAACCGCTAGGCCACCCCTGAAAGGGACAGAGGGTCTCAATCTACAATCAACAAAAACGAGGAACGGGACCAATTTATTGCTGAAGGAACTTTATATCCATGTACTTCTGACAAGAGGAGACATGTTAATCTATTCGTGCATTGCAGGTGTCATCTACAGAATCATCTGGGTGCCAGATAAACCTGAAGTCGACAAAGAAAACTGTGACAATTCATGCTTTGATTCCATATTTAAAGGTAAGTTTTAAATGTGTCGCCATTAAACGATTAATTGGATGGGAATTATGTATGTCTGTAGATGTGTTTGTTTCGATTTTCGCACTTTTAAAGCGCCCTCTCTCTTGCTTCCGGTTACAGTGACATTGGAAACGTGAGTATGTGGTCACAAGTTTCACGTGTAAGACAACTTCCGGTCGCCCCGTACATCCACTCTGGCTTCCTGACAGTGGGATACCGGATGGCGGGGATCACCACAATATTACTCCAAAAACCCTTCATTTTGTCCCTGCATAAAAGAACATATGAAAAACACCCTTACTATTCCAATTTTAAAGTGGTTCCCGTTTCAGTCCTTTTACCGGTTTTTTTTTAGTCTGTCTCACAGTCCCTGAACCACATTATTTTCCTTACTGCCAAGCCCTCTCTGCAGTTCTACAGCCCTAAATAAAGCAAGTCTAGATTCCCACAGGTTCTGAATCTCTGGTCTCCCTAGGGCTCCTTTTCAATTTAAATGGGCTTGTTTGTTACTATCAAAATAATATATATTCAGAGACTATGCATTAGTCTACGGGTTTTTGTACGTAGGAAGAAAAGGCTATGATAGGTTCTCGGCCAATCTAGGGCACGTGTCATAATCGGGTTGGTCAGTTTGTTGTTTAACGCCGCCCTCGACAATATCACAGCTATATGGCAGCGGTCTGTAAATAATCGAGTTTGGACCAGACAATCCAGTGATCAATACCATGAGCTCGATCCACGCAATTGGGATGCGATGACGTGTGTCAACGCAGTCAGCCAGCCTGACCACCCGATCCCGTTAGTCGCCTCTTACGACAAGCATGGGTTACTGAAGACCAATTCTAACCCGGATCTTCACGGGTGTTAGAATCAGGGCTTGTCATACCATGACGTCACTGGTAACATTAGCAACGCGGTCCCGGTCATGGTCATATTGCTTGTTCTGCCAGTTTTCAACAGTAAGATGACTGGAATACAGATCCTGATTTCCTAACATCATATTTCATGTTTCTCAAAGTGCGCCATGATTTTGTGATCTAGGGTTCCAATTCCAATGAGTATGGTTTTACGCCGATGTCAGCAACTTTCTAGCAAATCACGCCGGAGGATACCAAAAATGGGCTTCACACATTGTACCCATGTGGGGAATCGAACTTGGGTCTTCAGATGTACGAGTGAACGCTTCAACCACAAGACTCCCCCATCACCCCTCAAGTTCCACGTTCTCTTCCAGTATCTTTTGGGGTTTGCAAGCGCCATATCTTTTTAGGGGTTAGTGGGACAGCCTAACTAGCGTTGTCCCGTGAAACTGAAAGCCTGGTTTCATTTACCAGTACTATTGCTGGGATATTTCTAAAAGCGACGTAAAAACCGACTCACTCACTCACTCTGTTTTCAGGCTCCTACGAGAAAGGCGGTAGTAAACATGGATACAAGCACGTGTACTTCAACGCCACGCGACAGACCACGTGTGTCTGGCTCGTCACTATGCTGTACGTCATCCTTGGATACGAAGCAATCAAGCTCATCTTCGAACACCTCTTCTCTCGTTCCCTCCGACCAATTATGGCGATTCTCTTCTTCGTCAGTGTCTACCCACATATATACGCCTGGTGGGCAATATTCAACTACTACAACGACGACTTCTACCAAATGTTCAACCATCAAATATTCTTCTCCGTCACAGAAATGCTGTCCACGTACGCCATCTTAAAATCATGCGACAGACACTCTGAAAGGCATGTTGTGCTCTATGGACTGATCGTAGGGACGGCTGTTGCACATGTTATTATTGGCAGTCTGGATCAGTTCATTTCTCAAATTGTATATATGGAGGGCAAGCCCCATCTCACATGGCGGGACATCGGGCTGTTAGTCCCAGACATCATGGCAGTGGTACTTCCGGTTCTTGACTACATGAGAGGGGAGATAACTCTTAGACCTACATGTTTATTATCCTTTCTGCGGGAGCGTTTCACCAATGATAAATCATCGAGGACAACTGCTTTGATTATATGTGTCTATATTTCGGCTTTGTTAATAACAGGCCATCTGTTATGAGTCATACCTATAAAAGAATGTGTTATATGCCTACTACATTTTGTTTCATTTCATTGGTTGAATTGTCAATTGCACGACTTGACACAGCGTTATGTTAATCTCACGTGAAGTTATATATATATTGAATATTTTGTGTTCTGTTCTGTTCTGTTTTAACATTATGAATATAGTCATGAATAAATGGAATATACATCAAATTAGCTCACACGTTTCCATGACAATATTTACTAGGACATGGGTCTTGGCTCGATAATTCATCTGGAATAATGCTGTGTGAGGCGTTAATCGACATGGTTTGTATAGTTTTTCTAAGTGTTTTCTTTTGTTTTCATAAGTGGCTTCCATTCAGGGTATATCCTTTTCGTTGTCTAAACACTCTACATTTACCAATTTATAACACAAACATACCACTTAATATCTTTGAAATCTGTACATCTGAATCACAACATATCACTTAATCCCATAGATCTCTGTACATCTGAATCACAACATATCACTTAATCCCCTAGATCTCTGTACATCTGAATCACAACATATCACTTAATCCCCTAGATCTTTGTACATCTGAATCACAACATATCACTTAATCCCCTAGATCTTTGTACATCTGAATCACAACATATCACTTAATCCCCTAGATCCCTGTACATCTGAATCACAACGTATCACTTAATCCCCTAGATCCCTGTACATCTGAATCAGAACGTATCACTTAATCCCCTAGATCCCTGTACATTTGAATCACAACATATCACTTAATCCCCTAGATCTCTGTACATCTGAATCACAACATATCACTTAATCCCCTAGATCTCTGTACATCTGAATCACAACATATCACTTAATCCCCTAGATCTCTGTACATCTGAATCACAACATATCACTTAATCCCCTAGATCTTTGTACATCTGAATCACAACATATCACTTAATCCCCTAGATCTCTGTACATCTGAATCACAACATATCACTTAATCCCCTAGATCTCTGTACATCTTAATCTTTAATCCCATCTCACTGGCCTCCTGTACACACTATGTATTTTGTCTGTAAATCATATTGTCATTCACCTGATGGAGGGGCAAAACGTAGCCCTGAAACTTCGTGTTGTAAATAATAAAGATGTTGTAAATCCATACCATACGTTGTTGTGATAATTTTTCCAGTATTTTGTACATCATATTCACAATATTCGTTTTGACACCAAATCCATACCATACGTTGTTGTGATAATTTTTCCAGTATTTTGTACATCATATTCACAATATTCGTTTTGACACCAAATCCATACCATACGTTGTTGTGATAATTTTTTCCAGTATTTTGTACATCATATTCACAATATTCGTTTTGACACCAAATCCATACCATACGTTGTTGTGATAATTTTTCCAGTATTTTGTACATCATATTCAGAATATTCGTTTTGACACCAAATCCATACCATACGTTGTTGTGATAATTTTTCCAGTATTTTGTACATCATATTCACAATATTCGTTTTGACACCTTGTTGGAAACTGAAAAACAACAGTTCAGTTTGCAACGCAGACAGTTTGAGTTCGAATCCAATGGCAGTGTCCTGTCCATCTCCGAATGCCGGGCCGATGGGATAGCGTAGTATGTCATGCCGAAGACTCATTCACTCGCTCACTCCGAATACCGTTATGTTCTCTGAGACGAAATTATTCATTAAATTTAGGCTCAGAAGACGTCCCATACACCCTACTGTTTGTTGTAAGATGCGGATACAGACACCTTCACTTTGTTGATTGTATGGCGCGTTGCTCATAACTTTAACCATTGGGTTGTTGCAGTAATATAGCTTGGATATTGATACGGTTCTAACCAACAAACAAACAAAATAAAGTTGGGACATGGATACGCTGGAACGCTGGATAAATTCTATAAAGAAGCAAAAGAAACGTCAGCTTGGAATTTTCCTTCGCAGAAACGGATAACTGTAAACTCATGTTTTGATTATATATTTTTGACAACATCTCCAACTTTACCTGAGCAAAGACATTCCTTCCCAAACTCAGAATTGAACCCAGGAAATGGTCTCAAAAACGCAACCTGATCTCGGAGATGGTACGGTGTTCTCATGCATGCAACTCATGCTGCTGTTCACAAGGACCAGCCCTATAAAATGCACCCCCAAACCTGGTTGAAACATTCACATTACAACGTCAGCAGGATGCCGCGACTCACGACAGCTCAGAGGAACCAGGCGCTAGGAAGACTTGAAGCTGGCCACACTGCACAAGCCGTTGCCAATCACTTCCAGGTCAACGTTCGGACCATCTACAGGCTGCAGCAACGTTTCCGGGCCACCAACACCACAAATGATCGCCCCTGTACTGGCAGACCAAGGGTGACCACAAGACGACAAGACCGCCATGTTGTGCGACAGCATGTACAGAATCCCTTCATGCAGGCATCCGAAACAGCACGCCTGACAGTGGGAACACACGGAAGACCAATCAGTACTGATACAGTACGCCGACGTCTTAACAGCGGGAACCTCCATTGCCGTAGACCTTACCGTGGACCTATCCTCACCCCTCGTCATCGGCGTGAACGTCTACAGTTTGCCCTACAACACCAAAACTGGCGATACAGGCAATGGAGAACTGTTCTGTTCACAGATGAGAGTCGGTACTGCGTATCAACTGCAGATGGCAGAACAAGAATATGGCGACGACGTGGCCAGCGTTACTCAGACCAATGTGTTATGGAAAGAGACTCATGGGGAGGTGCAAGCATCATGGTATGGGGTGGAATAGGCCTGAACCAGAGAGTGGGTCCTGTGGTGTTCCAGAACCTTGGTCCAGGGAGAGGAGGCGACATCACAGCGGTGCGCTACATCGACCAAGCTCTCAGACCCCACGTCATACCACATTTCGCACGTCACCGGAACAACATTTTCCAGCATGATAACGCCCGGGCCCATACTGCCAGAGCTACATGGGACTTCCTACAGCAGAACGGTGTCAACATTATGCAGTGGCCAGCCCTTAGTCCATTTAAACCCAGTTGAACATCTTTGGGATGAATTTCAAAGGAGACTGAATAATGTCAAAAATGGCCGAACACAGCCGATTTATTGCGTCAGGCCTTTCTCAGAGTGTGGTTACAGGTGCCAATGGCCTTCATCACTCGATTGGTGCACTCCATGCATAGACGATGTGCTGCAGTTATTGCCGCTCGTGGTGGCCACACTAAATACTGAAGTCAAGAGTCTGAATGGACTGCAACGTTCACGTAATGTCTTGATATTGTGCTGAGTTATTCATTGATGTGTCAAGATATTGTACACAAGAATGTTTTTGATCCGCTTATTATGTCCATTTCTGTAATGATTTGATTATAGTGCCCATCTAATTTTGAATTCGTACTGACGTTTGTTTTGCTGCTGAGTATATGTTAAAACATGCATTGGATTTCCGTTTAGTTGAGTTAAAGCCTGTATCAAGCAGTAGCGTCGGATTACTGTGTGTTATTGTGTTTACTGTGTGTTACTGTGTTTACTGTAAATTAATGTACTGTGCGAGGTATAACTGTGGGATACGTGTACTAAGAGGTATTGTGTTTACTGTGGGATATTGTGTTTACTGAGGGCTCTTTGTCCACTTGTTTACTGTACTGGTTGTGCTGTTTAAGGGGCTGTTGTTGTGCGTTTACTGTAAGTCTTAGATCCACTTGTTTACTGTAGGGTTGTGCTGTTTAAGGGGCTGTTGTGTTTACTGCGGGTTTATTGTGGTTTACTGTAGGATATTGTGTTTATTCACCTATTGGTTATTGTGTTTATTGTAAGATATAGTGTTACTGTAATGTTATACTGGTTAAGGAGTTATTGTGTTCACTGTGGGGTATTGTGTTTACTATTGGTTATTGTCTTCACTGCAGGGGTATTGTGTTTACTCACCTGTTGGTTATTGTATTTATTGTAGGATATAATGTTTACTGTAGGGTTATATTGTTAAGGGGTTATTGTGTTTACTGCAAGAGTATTGTGTTTACTATTGGTTATTGTGTTTACTGTGTTATTGTGTTTACTGCAAGCGTATTGTGTTTACTATTGGTTATTGTGTTTACTGTGTGTTATTGTGTTTACTGCAAGAGTATTGTGTTTACTATTGGTTATTGTGTTTACTGTGTGTTATTGTGTTTACTGCAAGGGTATTGTGTTTACTATTGGTTATTGTGTTTACTGTGTGTTATTGTGTTTCCTGCAAGAGTATTGTGTTTACTATTGGTTATTGTGTTTACTGTGTGTTATTGTGTTTACTGCAAAGAGTTATTGTGTTTACTATTGGTTATTGTGTTTACTATTGGTTATTGTGTGTTTACTGCAAGGGCATTGTGTTTACGACAAGAGTATTGTGTTTACTATTGGTTATTGTGTTTACTATTGGTTATTGTGTTTACTGCAAGGGGTGTTGTGTTTACGGCAAGAGTATTGTGTTTACTATTGGTTATTGTGTTTACTATTGTGGTATTGTGTTTACTGCAAGAGTATTGTGTTTACTATTGGTTATTGTGTTTACTGTGGGTTATTGTGTTTACTGCAAGGGGTATTGTGTCTACTTTATTGTGTTTACTGCAAGGGGTATTGTGTTTACTGTGTGTTATTGTGTTTACTGCAAGGGTATTGTGTTTACTATTGGTTATTGTGTTTACTGCAAGGGTATTGTGTTTACTTTTGGTTCTTGTGTTTACTGTGTGTTATTGTGTTTACTGCAAGAGTATTGTGTTTACTTTTGGTTATTGTGTTTACTGAAGGTGTATTATGTTTACCGCAGGGGTATTGTGTTTACTCATCTGTGGGTCACTGTGTTTACTATGGGTTGTTGTGTTTACTGTTACTGTTAAACAGACAACGATAAATCTGTCAGTTGGTGATTGGGTTGCGTTTTACGCCGCATTGAATCACACACTCAACCAACCATCCACTCACTCACCCAACCAACCATCCACTCACTCATCCAACCAACCATCCATTCACTCACTCACTCACTCACCCAACCAACCATCCATCCACTCACTCACTCACCCAACAACTTCACCCACGGACATACACTTCAGCCCTCTCACATAATAACCCCATTCACACAGTGGAGGTCACAAACAAACGTAATTTGATGTCAACATTTTATTTCATGAAGCAGCATTGAAGTGTGTGAAGTATATTACATAGTAACACCGATGTCGTCGTAGAAGATTACACGAAAATATTAAAGCTGGAAAGCCAGTGAGCTCGGGAGCAACCGCCACAAATCTAACTTTGAATGTAACTCAAAGCTCGTTTATTTACTGCTTAACGAAATCAAAACGAGCTTCATTGTACATTTGTGTGTGAGAAATATATCGAAAATAAGCTACATAAAATATGTGTTTGATCCTACAATCATATACCATAAAGTCTGTAAACAGTCTGGTTCTCTCGGTTGGCTGCGATTGCGCTGAATGTAGGTAAACGCATCCCGGCTTTAGGACCAGGCT